TACCCAGTCCTGCCTTGCTGCAGAAATGAAGTGCAGCTTTGGTGTTTCATATTATTTAAAGCAAAGGTCCCATTTGTTATTGTTTTTCCAAACTGGCGCTGCCTGCATTCAGCACACTTGAAAAGTGCAGGTCACACATTATGTCCCGTGAAACGTTTCTCCACACTGAATTACACCCTCCAAACCCAGCAGGGTAAGTGTGCAAGGTAACCGTCTTACAAACCCAGGAATATGTTTACAAAAAATAGCTTTGCAGAGGGAAGAGAGAAATTAAAAGACAGAAAATGTCCTTTTCTCCAGTGATCCTCATGCTGACTTAACACTTGGCCTCAGGTATGTAAAAAGCATTAGGTGTTTTCCCAAACATTTTGAAGAGCAAGTGGGTTACCTAGAAGCTGGCAGGTGTTCTCAGTGCTACTGAGCTTGATTTTTTTTTTACTATGATGTATTTTTGCCAGCGGTTCCTTACATGACGGTTTGAATAACAAATGCCAGACCTTGTCTAAGCAAAACCAAAACAACTCTGATATTCAGTGAAAATTAGTGACCATCTTTCTTTGACTAACATCAGCATCTCCTGCCATCTCCATGTGGGGCAGACAAAGAGAAGTTTGTGAATGGGGTGTTATCTGCTCACCATTGCTTTTAGAGCTCTCTCCCCACATAACAGCATGTTAAGCTTTCAGATTTCCTTCTAGTTGGCTCCCTTTCTCCCCCCCCCCCTTAGTTTGTAATCTTAGTTTGTGTCTTCTTGACAAATCCCAAACTGTCTCACTTACCTGTGATTATTCTCTATTTTCCTTTCCACACTTCCAGCCCCTGGACCTTACTCCCTTCTGGATGTGATTCTCTCCCCATGGGGACAGTCAGTATGTAAGAATAGAAGGTAGCATGCCATTGACAGGCAGGCAATAGCAGGACTTCCAGAGCATTTCACACCTGAAAATTTTCTCTTTAGCATCTTTCCACTTCTTTTCTCAGCTTTCCATCAGCCAGCAGAGAAAGGATCCTAATATTTATAGAAATGCAAGGGTTTCTTAGATCACTGCTATTAATGATTTCAGACTCCTCCTCTCTGAAACCAGGGTTAAGAGACTAACTTCCTCTGCAAGTATCCCTCCAAGCCCTCTCAATCAATAACATGATACAAGCCAGCACGACTCCACTCTAAGGTCACTTATGGCCTAATGTGGAGGTGAATTGACCATTTCAACATCTGACCTGCAGGTCCTCATTACCCTAGAGTGAGAGATGCCAGCGACTTAACTCTGCTAGCTGTTCCTCCAGCAGTTGTTGGGAACTTAAGAGTGGAAAACCAATGGGAAATACAACTTCTGTTTTGAAACCCAAGGTGGGCATGGAAAGGAAGACTTACACACCAAGTACCAAAAGTCTATACTTAACTGCCTTCTCCGACAGTGACCTCCAGCCCTCTTGCTCCGTGGAGCCTGGAATGTGCCATATGGCTTGTTAAACTGGTTGTGCTCTCTGCCCCTACAGTTGAAGCCAATGTACGTCCTATACCAGTGGGAAGCACAATTGTTTTTAACAGGTTTTTGTACCTCTTACAGGGTTAAGCTGCAAATAGTGTATGCTAGCATTTTTCCAGAACCCTTATTTTCAGAAGATTTAGTTTCTTGTTTAGCTTGCCTGAGAGCTTGACAACACTAAGGGATGCACTTTGGTTTGTGGGGTTGTTTTTAAATGCTGGTTACAAAAGTAATAAAATTTTACAGGATGGCCCTACCTTACACACACATGTGAATAATTCACATAAGTACATTTTCTACTTCAGTTCTATTTATGCTTAAAGCATAAAGGTGCACTTGAGTACACCATTCGCTAGCACTCATTGAGATGTGTGCTTATCACTATATGAGTTATGTGCGTAAGCACACACTTGCCCTCAGATGAACAAAGATGAGTTTCAGTGTTTGCAAGTCATAGCCAAAAAGCTACACAATTGTATCAGACACAGTAGTAAAAGAATAAGTTGCCTCTGACAAAATGCAGAGCATATTCAGTTAAACATCCCACTTCATCTAGTTGCATCCTAATGTAAATAAATAATTGTCCTTTTGTAGTCTGCTGCGTGGGGGAGGCGTGGGGGAATGCTGGAGAGTGAGCAATCTGAAAAGGAAGTTCATTCTGTTTTCTCCCTACCAGGTTCATTTTCGAGTATTTTTCTCTAATTTCCCTTTTTCTACAATTTTGTCATGATAATATTAAGCATCAGGTTTGGTTACTGACATTTGCTGGAACAAAGTGTCCTTTTATGCAGATGCTGCTCTGCCGCATCAGGCCCCTTCACAAGGCAGTTGTTGTCTGCTGTAAATGTATATAAGCCCTAATATTTTTGTTTTAAAACCAATAGAAGCCGAACGTCTGTTGCTCTGTGTTCTGTCCTACAGCTGTAGAAATAATCTGCCTCTGCCTTACCTGAATCTGCAAAACAGATAGCGTGTTTCTTCCACAACGCTTCCTTCTCAAGAGATAATATATTTGTAACCTGCATGTGAAATGCTGGTAAGATCATACACAAGGTTTGAAATAATTGATTTATGAAGAAAAATAATCAGTTTTGCAAGGAAAACGTTGCAGGGACATCTTAAAAAGTCCAATCCACCCACAGGCCTTAATTTAAAGATGGTAACGTTGACTACATTTTGGCCTTTTACAGGTGTGTAAGCAAGTGATGTACCAACCAGCTCACAGTAATTCCACTTTCACGTTCAAAGCCCATCCTGTTGCTCAGCATGGAGAAGTAGCAGCGACACGAATTGCATGGAGATGTACATCGCTGCGGTAGCAGCTGCTAGGGAGGTGGTGTCCCTGCACGGGCAGGCGTGCAGTGGCTTTTGTCTTGGGACAGCACAGAGGTGCCTGGTGACCCAAGGTGGCAGGATGAAGCACAGCACTGCAGCCACGCAGGCAGTTCGCCTGTGGCATTGCCAACTGTTAACAAATAGGTTCAGGTACTTTTCCGGTAAAGTCCAGAATGCTGGAAAAGCAACTTCTTCCAGCAACCGCTTGAGATCTGCTACTTTCACTTACTAGGGAACCGGGAGGAGACAAAGGACCAACGGCGAGGGTGACGCAGGGAGGCTGCTATCACAAAGCTGAGCACTTGGCTGGCCTGGGGAATCACAGCCAGAGCGCCTGGTGAGGGTGAGGCAGGCCAGCACAGAGCCCACGTGCTGGCACGCCGGCTAAGTGAGGAGCTATCTCCAGAGGAGATCTTTCCATCTTCACCTCCTGTGACTCCCAGAGGGTTAGGCAGTCACCACCAAATAGGACTGACAGCCTTGTAGAGCAAGGTGCCGATGCCAGCCACGACGGCTGCCACTGGTGTGCCCAGTGGCTCAGTATTTGGAGCAGAGATCCGGGGTGAAAGCAGTGCAGGTCCATGCCTCCCTTCAGCCCGAGCTGTCTCTGACATCAGACCTGGGAGTCTTTTGGGTAGGACGTTCTTCATTGCTCACATTGGACCAAAGTCACTTTCCAAGAAACCTTAAACCGTTTTTCAGGATAGAGGAAATGAGCACGACTCACTGAATGATTCATGAACTTACCTGTAGGAGGAGAGATTGCCAAGAGAAATTTAGGCAACTGTACTACGCCTTCAATGCACTGAGCTGTCCTAGCCATGAAGCCTGCGCTGCTCTGCGACCCCACTCCTCCCTTCCCCGTTGGCACTGTGTGAATCACCTCCACCGCTGCAGACAGCCCTCGCTGGGAGGACCCGTGACCACCTCGGTGCCACTGGTCCCACCACGTTGCCACGAGGGCGGGTGATGCCCCACAGTGCCACCAAAGCAGCAGCAGCCCTAGGCTGCCCGCATTTCACTCCGTGCAAAGTGGCAGCTCAGGCTCAAGTTTGTCCCTCCGGAGTTCTCTGGAGATCACATCAAACACGAGGCAGTGCCAGGGCACGGGTGCTGGAAGACGTCGTCTGTGTTGCGGAATCATCAGCGGCTCCCTCGGGGGTTACTGGTCTGTGCCCGCTGCTCTCGCCCAGATGGCCCCCAGCCACAGTCAGTCCATGCCATGCAGAGCCCAGCCGCAGCAGGCCGTTCAGATGGGGTTACACAGCTTTGGGTAACAGGAGAGTTTAACAGTGTATGTGTGGCCTCAGAGCCAGGGAACGGAGCCTGGTGCTTCTTATTTTACTAGGACAAAGAGGTATAGCTGGCTGTTGGTGTCCAGAACTGGTGCTAGGAAGCAGCTGAGAGTCCCCCCAAATGGCAGACGAATGCACAGAAAGAAGCATGAACAAATATTGAACCCGAGTGATTGTCTGTTTGAGGATGTGGCTCTGCCCTCCCCATCCTTTGAAGAGGTTCATCACGTGAATAAGTGCATAGACTCCAATGCACTGGGAACAATGAACTAAGATGCCTGGAAGAATCACATTAAAAAGGCAGAGGAAGGAAATAATGGAATGTTATAAAAGCCGATTCCTAGGCAAGACCTAGGAAGTGTGAAAAACCAAAGAGTTTAGGCTTTGGTAACAACAGATGAAACTAATACTAAATTAGAACTTTCACTCACACAATACTGTAAAAATAATGCAATATAAGTACTTACTCACCAAAACTGCTCTTGAAACAAGCCTACTTCTTTAAAAGACAAGTGATTCAGTGACCCTTCTTCTCTTTCTTCTCTTCTGTAACTCTTATTCTGAAGCCTGTTTTCATGCAGAAAATTTCTTCAATAAGTTACATTCTGACAATGCTAACACTGCATCAGTCTTTTTCCAAATCAATGAACTCCCTACCCTACAAATAGTTCTTTGCTTCCATACTCCTTTGTTTTCATGGTTTGCCAAGCATGTGATATCAATAAAGACAAATCTGCTGTCACATTGCCAGAGTAATCAGAATGCTTTATTTATTTATTTATTTATTTATTTACCATTGGTTTTAACTACAATGATACCAATTTACTGAGCTTCCTGCTTCCTACTTCCTTTGGGTTGGGGTGGGGGGGGGGGGGGCGTTCAGTATTTTGGGTCTCACTGAAGGTAGCAAGGCATTCATTTCCTAAAAATCTTCAACACAGTTTCTCTGTAACTTTCATCTGGTGGGGGTTTCCTTGGGCTGCCAGGCTGCAGGAACTTCTTAATTGTAGGCATATTGCTCATTCTTATTTTAAAAGCCTAAAAAATAAAAACAACAGAGTAAGAGAGAAGTTCCAGCTACTCCAGTAGCAAACAGTGCTTCTTGCACAGAACTCCTTCCCCCTGCTGCTAGAAGAGATCCTAACGTTCATTCGGATCTCATGCCACCTACAGTCTCCTGTCCAGCAGGAGGAGGACCCAGCTGCTGCAAAAAAACTGTTCTTACCAATGAAGGCAGTACTGGAGCAGACAATATCTAAATCTCTGCTGCCTGAAAGAAACTGAAGGCAAAAATCCAATATCCGGGAACACCAGGGTGTGGTTTTGAAGGTACAAATACACTAACACAGCTCATGACCTTTTTCTTTTCATTACTAGTTCTGATGGTGCAAACTACTGTGTGGCCAAACCACGATATACGTTAACATGATTTCCATTTTTACTATATTATGTAAGTATCTGAGCTCTGCTTGCATCTAGCATGGCCACTGTTGTCCCACTGTCCCAGCATTTCTAGGATTGCGTTGGTGAAGGTGAAATGACTGGAAGCATCCTTGGCTCAACTCAGTTGTCCAGTAGAGGCTTCTCATACTGTGTTGTAGCCTAGGGTAGCTAAAATATCTACACAGGGCTGGCAGATATAACATAGTCCCTCAGGGAGACCTATTCCCTTCTGGAGCAGCGGCTGGAGGCCAGGACTAGGATTAGGGCATCTCAGGTGGTAAGAAATGCCTGTGTTAAGGCAACTGACTCAAGGATCCCGAGACATCTCATTGTGCAGACAGTCAGAGAGGACTCACTGGTGCAGGCTGCAAGCAGCTGGAGACCCCACAGTTAGCTGAGCAAGAACCTCTTCTAACAATGGGGCTAATGGATAGGAGCTTCACAGGGCAACAGCCAGCTCTTGCTGGCAGATGTATGAACATAATTTCCTCTTCCTTACAGGCACTGGAAGGATAAGGGCGACATACAAGAAGGAGCAAGAAAAGTAAAAGCTGTGAAATAAGTAACCACCAATTTTAGAAACTTTTTCACTTCTGGCAGTAAAGGAATCCCTCCATAATTCAAGGCATGGCTTCAACAGAACTGTGCCCATGCCTAGTGGCTAAGATATCTTGTTAGAAGATGGGAGCTAGAGGCAAGAATTACCTGAGGCTGCAAAACTTCATGCGGGATAAAATCTGACACATGTTACTGTCCACTTTGTGGCTGAAGTGCCTCATTCTGTCACACTAAATTAAGACTTAAACTGTTGGGGTTGAGATTTAAAAAATTTTAAAAAACACTTAAGGAAAACAAACAAACAAACAAACAAAAAATCAAAGCCCTTTTCCTCATCAGTTCCAAGCAGAAAACCTGACTGTGGTAGTCTGATGCTGAACTGTTTCTTTTGTTAATGGGAATAAAGCCAAAGTCTTTGAGTGCACCCCTCAAATTAACAGTTTGTAAGCACAAAGAAGCATGACCTCAAGTCTTGCATCCTCAACTCAGACTTGCTATGCTGCTTTATTACAGGCATATGGGAGGACTACTGACCACTAACTGCTTTTTTCCAATCACAGACTACTTGGGTCCACTGTATCTCAACTCTTAATGACTCCTGCAGGTCATGCCCCAGGCTTGCCCATACGCTGTGCTCTATAGCATGCTGCAAGCCTAGAGGCTTCTGATTTCTGGTCAAGTCTCACAGGAAAAGTGCCTCACTTCTGCTTGGTTTCAGACTTTGTACATGGTACAAAGGCAGAGTATTCATCCTCAATTTTATTGAGTTGATTATTGAAAGAAAACTGGCTTAATGCTAAGGTTTGAGTTTCTAGTCATACTGTAGAAGGCCGAAGCGAAGTGAGATTACTGGGATCCCAAAATTGTAATACCAGCCAGTACAGAAAACGGCACACTGCACCTTATTGTAACATGTCAACCTGGATCACAGACTTTATTTGTTATCTGGTATTAGATAGCATCTACTGGCAGGCAGCAGGAAAATCAAAAGAGGGTGGCTTAGATAAGTGATTCCCTTGGGATTACATTAATTTATTTCTATTGAGGAGGCATATACCACTCAAAGAGGGATAGGCATACTTGAACTGGGTTAATCAGGAGCACAGTGTCTTACAACAAACCAATTAATCAGTTCCTTCTTGTGCTTGATTTTAAGCAACGATACGATAGCGGCAGCTCCTTGAAGAGCCCACACTCCTGATTTACACAGCATGGAGAGATGATCACCTTCAGGATTGCCCTCTAGCTCCTGAACACAGGCATGCTCAAGACCAAAATTACCTGCAACTGAGGAAACCCCGACAGCACAGCAGGTATTTTCTCCTCCACTGCTAAAATGGCTTCAATTAGCTGAACATCTGCCCAGCTGAATTTGTTGCCCACAAGAAAGTCTTGGCCATGCTGTTTCAAAACCTGTAGAATACAAGAGAATGCGAGCTGCAGATGAGACTGGGACACATGATGCCTGGCAGCTAAGCCCCACAGCACAGCTGTGGAGCTGAACAGCAATTATATCTGAAATGTCAGGGTGGAATTTTCAGCTGGAAGCTGTGAGCCTAAATCACTTCATTACTGTTGGGAAAAAAATCTGAACTCTTGTAGGACACAGGCTATAAACTTTGGTCACTCAGTAATGATGAATGATGATACGCACTGGGAACAGTGACAAAACCATGTGCTTAAGTAGACTAGTAACAGTCACAGAATTAGAAACAGGGATAATGGAGCAACTGAAGAGTAACTTGGAGAATTTATAAAATTGCCATTTAGATATTTCATTTAAAGTTATGTCCAATGTTGATACCAGGAAGCAAACTTAGGAATGCAGAATTACAATAGCTAACCAAAGAAAATCCCTGCCTTTGTGAATAAGTTATTATAGTCATAAGGACTTCTAGGATGTTCAGCCTTTATTACTGTTTTCCATCAAAATTAGATGAACATTAACGAAAGTGAGAAATGTTGCCAGATGCTTGAGTCATGTGGGTTTGGTTTGTTGTTTTCGAAAGTGGGATGTGCAGAAATCTATGGCTGTTGTTTTACTAAAGTATTTCTAATCTCTCTACCTGATTTATTTGCAAGGGATTTTTGCATTCTTCTAATGAAAATGTTCCAACTGAAATTAAGTATAGCAGAGAGATGTGCTCTAAATAAATGTAAGTGTGGAATTATCCCCTCAAGGAAAAAAGAAAACCTATGTGCTTGCTTTTACTTTAGTGAAAAGTTTTGCTGTATAGCTGAGAACATATTGCTTTATTTGCTTTGTAGATGTTCAGGTACCACAGCCCTGACAACACAAGCCAACAAATAGAGAAAATGTGCTGCTGTATTTCCTCTTCTTTGTGAGAGCCAAGAAAGCTGAGGATTTGGAACTGACCTGAACTGCAAACATGTTCTTATTTGGGGGAAACTTTTTGGTAATTGTAAATACAAGTTTTATAGGCACATCCTCACTGTCACTTACCTTTTCAAAGACTGGGAAGTACCTGTTAGTTGCCCTCTCCTTAATTGAGTCAAGATTTTTCTCCTTTGCCTCAGGTGGAGAGAAAGGAAACATCAAAATCATTTGCATCAGATCTGTTATTCCTTCCACATACATGTCAATCCTATTAGTGGGGGGAGACGGTAGAAAAGAGCACAGAAGTTATTTCATCTGTTTTCCAATTAACTAAGGCAACTTACAGGAATTTTATATCACCACCACACTGCCAATTTTCACAGCCGAAACTAAACGTGAACTAAAGCCAAGTATTTTTTAAAAGGACTAAAAGCCTGTTTCTGTTCAGCAGCATTTCAGCAGCAGTGGTTAAAACCTAAGCAAAGGCTAGAGTCCTTGCTTTTTATGGTGTTAGCCTTTCTCATGCCTTTCTACTGGATTTACAGGATTGAATTCGTTATATATAATGCAGCTATCAAATAACAGATTGCTCATTAAGTGAAAAGAGGTGTTATGGTACAGGGCTCTCTCCTTCAAGTCTTTCCCATAGAGATTGTATTTCCCTGCTATGTAGCTGAGGATGGCTCTGGTCTGCACCATCTTCATCCCATCGATCTCAACCAGTGGCACTTGCTGGAACATCAGGACTCCATCTAGGGTGGAAAGTTGAGGGAAAGCTTGTTAATTCCTTCTAGACTGCCAGCTTTACAGGAGAGTGAGAGACTGAGCACATTTCTTTTGCAGTGTAGGAGATTATTGATGTCTTGCCCTAACTGTAAAACTCCATGCAGTAAACTAACATTGTGGGAAAGATCAAATATCAACTCGCCTGCATCGCCCTTTTGTAGCTGGGTCATCACAGTGCAGCTGGGCCCTTTGCTTTACAACATCGCCAGGGCTTCACTGGCTGGTGGGAGCTGGCACTGCCTGCTCCTTTGCACTTCTGGACCCTGCCTCATGCTGGCAGAAAAAGCCTCAACCAGCAATTTCAACCCAAGGGATCGGAGGAGAATAAAGATCTGTGTTAAGTGTGAACTTTAAGAAAAAAAAATTCCAATTATTTTGAATGCAGATCAGTTCCCTCTCAGGGACATACACATATGAGGAGAAAGAATGAGCGGAGAAGTACTGCAGCAGGACTGAGCTTCTGGGATAAAGGAAGAGGTCAGGCCACTTTAAACATTGTGAAGCTACAGAGTTAGAGGCAGGGACTGTGACAGCAGTTGCTGTTTAAGTAAGTTTTACACAGTCACTCCAGGGACAAGAGTTTAAGAGTCCCCACAGATTTGCATTACAGGCCTATCCTCAGTGTTGTTCCACAATTTAAGCCTATTTAGGTACATCTTTGTAGGTCCATTGTCTCCTGGTGCCGGTAGGAGCATTTGTCTGAGCCTTCAGTGAGGCAGCTCTGAAAGCGAAGCTGACATAGAGAGTCAGCACAGCAGTCACTCTTTTCTAGACCCGTTTTCTGCTGGACTAATTACTGTCTTTGGAGACGCTCCCTCCTCTATTTACACATTAAGGGCATCCAGAGAACAATCCCGCCCTGTTAAAATCACAGCAAAACTCCAAATCCAGCCAGGCAGCTGCCACTTTGCATTGCTCAAAATTAATCATTTATTTTAATTGCTCATTTTTAATCTGTTCAGTGCATCCTTCTTTCAGGTGTAAGAGTTCATTTTAATAGGCACATCTGTTTGCTTTTTTCTCCACAGAGCTATTAAAATACTTTGCTAGTCTAGAATTAATAAACAGTCTTCACTCATTCTATATTATTAATTTATAATTTAAATTCAAAGAGTAGTTCTCTCCGCAGCAACAAATAGCCTGTGTTTGTTTCTTGTAAACGTTCACAGAAAGATAGTGTGTCTTCATGTCTTTCCAGAATACAGGTCTGCAGCTCAAGGAGGAAATATTACTTGGTATCTATCTAGCAAAAACACAGTAGAATGGGAAAACTAACAACTCTGCAAGGATACTTTTCAGCAGAAAGATGTGAAGCGAAAAATAAAATCTGACTTTCTGGCCCTTGACAAAAAGTGATGCAGCAAATGTGAGTGAAGAAAAGAGGGATTTCTCTCTTATGACCAGTAGCTCACTGCTTCTCCTTGCTTTGCAGTGAGAAATACTTCACACAACCACTGCATAGAATATATATGCAGGATTAAAAGCAGTTTGCCAGTCATTCTGCGGATTGGATTGTGCTGTTGGAAGGTGGTCTGTGGAGCACACATTAAAAAACAATCATCTAGACCTACTATTTGTCACTGACCAGCAGAGCTTGTTGATATCCAGGTAGCAACTTGGGCAACCTGTGGCTGCAGATAGAGCCGAGCTAGTGTCTCTCAGGCCAGCAGGTACAGGTCTGGCCAGGCTGATGCTATTTAACTCCTTCAGCCTCCAAAACAGCTGTCTGTCCGCAAGCTGCCTGTTGGGAACAGCCCCTGGCCCAGGCTTCATCCTGGACACTGCTGAGGCATTGCTTAGAAGATCATCAGGTGGCATGGGCCAAAGTCACGCCTGGACCGTTCTAACAATGTGGTGGTGTCTAAACACAGGATACTCTGGCAAAAAGCATGTTGGTAGGGAGAGAAAAAACATTAGAGGAAGAGGTAATGTGGGGTTATTTGTGTTCAGTCCTGCCCTGCATGACTGGCAGCATTCCAGAGGTCCCTCTATGAGGATGACTAATTTGTCTTTCTTCAACCCCTTGTATTAAACCCCACCTTTTTCTTTGTGTTCTAACCCTCTTCGGCTCAGTATATATACATAAAACCCCTTAATCTTCTTTATAAAACTTCCCTATCCTTTTCATCACCATTTAATTCTTCTCTCTGGATATAGATAAGCTTGGACGCTGTATCCAGGATTGTACCACTCTGTCTGGATTAATTAGTCCTGTGAAGCAAATTCAGATTTGGGCTTTCAGTACCTGAACTATCATATTTAAAGCTATAACTGGTGTCTTCACACTGCACTGCCCTCCCATGTTGTCAGGTTCGCAGCCAGCTGGACATGCAAATTTAATTCTGATCTTCTTGCTACCACTTCTTTTTTATTTTTGTTCATTTTAGTTTTCTTGTCAGAATTTCTTTAAACACAGCTTTTCCTTTCTGAGTAAGTGGCCAGAATGCAGCCGAGTCCTCTTCCAAGTCTCCTAGCATGTCTCGGCAAGCTCAGCCTGCTGCGAGGTTTCTCTTACGTGTCTTGGGCAGCAGGTAAACTGCAGGGTGGGTGCACCCTGTAGTGCTCCTCACAGTCCCAACTCCTTCCCTACCCTTGCAGCAAGGTCTTCTCCTTCCAGGGTGGCTGTGGAGGGGTTCACTGCTGGATTTCATCTGGGCAAATATCAAGGGCAGTGGCTGGGGGTATGCACTGGTGTTTGGGAACTGGTCTCACTCCCCAAGGTTGACATGAAGCCTTTGTGGCTTGCTGCTTTGACCATGTCAGACTTTCTGCAGGTCTCCCTGCTGGCTCCCTGTTTTTTAACTGGGGCAAGCTTCATGGCTCAGGTTTATCCTGCTTAGGACTGTCACTAGGGTGTTCGCACAGAACCTAACACAAAGGAAAACTGGCTTTCCTGGGGATTTTGGTGCCATGCCAGCCTTTCATTTAGAGGCTTATCTCACTGGCTTATCTTACGGCGGTTCAGAACCAACATATCTATACTAGTCAACTCAACAACAGGTCAGGCCAGCTGGCACAGACTGGCCAAATTCACTCTGTTCAGTTCTCTCTGCCTATAGAGCATGGTGGTGACATCTAATTGACATCTTGGAAATGGCCCTTGGCCTGGGACAGCTCCCAAATGATGCCTAGGAATTACTTCAGGGAGTGCTATTTGCCCTGGACCAAAAACGTGCCAGGAACCACGCTAACCATTCAATAACATAGATAATTAAGTTGCATTAAATAGGAATGTTTGCTACCCCTGTACTACAATAAACACAGTCACAGAAGCTATGGCTTTTAGCTTATAGGAGTTGTTTGGCACAGAAAGAACAGGTTACTCAAAACTAGTATTCCAGTATTCTAGGTGTGCACATAGAAGTTTGCAATAAGAAGAAAAGCTTAAAAATAGGTATCCTAATCATGTCCTAATGGCTCAGAAACCAGAGTAGAGTGCCTGATTTAAAAAAATAATTTTACAGATGACCCCCATTTTCTCAGAGCTAAAAGCCCAAGCTGCAACATTATGTGTGTCACACTTTGCATCCACATGACATTTCCCATTCAAATCAGGTTCAGTTTGCAATAAACTAATTTTAAACCACAAAATTAGTTAAATTGGAGCAATTTTTTTGAGGAACTAAGCGTCAGGCGTCGGGATTCTTACCTTTGATTAACTTTTCATACTGCTCTCTTGTTTCCAAAAAAATTTCTTCAAACTGGAAAAGAAGAGAGAATAGTGTTACATTGCTGTATTTGAACCTTTATCTTCTGTAAGTGACTGCACATAACCACGTGCAGAACGACTGAAATGAGCAAAAGGTAATGGGCTGGATCTTCAACTCTGCTGTTTGGTTGCAGACGTCCTGAAGATCCCGCACACATCCTTACAGCTGGGAAGGAGCAGAAGGGCCTGGCCACTTCTGCCTCAGGGCACCAATGCAGAAATAACCTAAGTGCAGGTAGAAAGAGAGTACAGACATCTGCAGGGGGATGACAGGTTGCAGCCAGTGCCAAGGGAAGCACAAGGTAAATCAACTATTTCTAACCCCACCCCAGGGCATGTGAGTCAGTGACACTCTTTTGTTCCCACACATTGTAACTGCAAACTAAGTAAGACTGAGTTAAGGTGGGTTTGCACAGCTGGAAAACTCAGATTAATTAAGAGCCTTTAAATAAATCCCCATTTTGACCTATTATGATTAATTACTTCAGGGCATAGACGCTAGCTCTAACAAACTCCAAGCTCCGCTGAGTTTGCATCCCAAATATTAACCACCAAACAAGGTAGTTACAAACATGCAGTGCCACTGGCCAAATGAATTTAGCCACCCTCTTGCAGCAGTTTATGCTTCACGTGCATGTTAAATTGTTCCTTACTTAGGCCAGTTGAAAACACCAGTCTGGAACACTGTACTGAGTATCAACGAACCTCCACGCCGGCTGCGGCCAACAGCCACCGTACGGGCTCCATTCGCCCCCTTCCATTACAGTAGGTAAGCCTGGGCTTCCCCGACATGCTTCTGAGCTTCTGGTGCCCTGAAAAATATTAAGCAGAAAACAGTATCTCATAAAACTGGTTTAAGTATCATTATTCTGAGGAGAGAGAGACTTTTATTCTCACTATGCCTGTTGAAGTTTCAACGTTATCTGGTTTAAAGCATAAAATGAGAGATGGACCAGTGACACCACACAGCCTGTGCTAGGAAAGGAAAGATGTGCAGATCTGTAAAGCTTTCCCCAGTGCTACTAGGGAGGTTTGTTTTGATTATAAGCAAACACAGACAGGTTTCAACAAGTGGTATGAGTCCTGAGCAACAAGGGGAACCTTGCTGCATTTTAAGACAATTATACAAAGCCACTGAAAATCCTACCACGTCCTCAGGGAAGTTACTCACTTACCCTCATTGCCATAATCCTCACTGAAAAGATGAAAAGAAGGAAAACATGTTTTACTGGTAGGCTGAAATTTGTCTGGCATTGTTTGCCAGTTGTCGGAGCACATTTTGCAGCTTCGACTGCCATCCACTTCTTTCCTCAAGCAGGGGCAAATGAGTTGTTCATCTTCCCTTCGTTCTATGAAACAGGCTGAGGTTCCTTGGGGTCCTATTGAATGGCTACAGCCTATTTCCTTGCTGCTTGTGGCAGCCTTGAGGTGTCCCTCAAAGCTAGCTCTGGAACCTAGCTGCATTGGCTTCAGGTGTCCCCAAAAGTATCCCCCAGGGCACCGGGGACCTGTGTGCCCAGGGGACCAGCACGTCGGACGCTGTCTGAAGCACCTCTCTCTGCACCATGAACAACAGAGCGTGTGGCGGAGAGCGCATCTGTATTAAGCTCTTTCATACGTAGGGACAACCAGCTGGACTACTTGTGCTAATACTTGAGTATAAGGGTTTGCAAATCCAGGCCTGAATTTCTCTGTGCTTCATTGCCCTAATTACTAAAAAAATGGGACTAGCATTCCACCTTCCCAAAGATGGTAGCATCACGCACTAATGAGTGGGAGAAGAAAAGCTTAGAAATAGGTATCCTAATCATGTCCTAATGGCTCAGAAACCAGAGTAGAGTGCCTGATTTAAAAAAATAATTTTACAGATGACCCCCATTTTCTCAGAGCTAAAAGCCCAAGCTGCAACATTACGTGTGTCAGTCACACTTTGCATCCACATGACATTTCCCGTTCAAATCAGGTTCAGTACGCTCTAGTGATGTGTTTTCTTCAAATCACAGTGTTTTGTAAGTGTACTTAAAATAAAGTACATTTGGAACATATTTTGCCAAAACTTGATTTTAAAGAACAATCAGATTCAGAGTTCTCCCTTGAGCAATTCTGGTGAGAACCAAGTCATGTTACTACAATAAATAGGGGTAAAATACACATAAAAGAAAAAATCATCAACTCCAGTTTTAAAGTGCAAATAGCTGTTGCTAATTACAATGTTTTGCCTCTAAGACAGTGGGTTTTTTAGTTTCTGCACGTTGTGTGACTAGCTTTCACTATATGGCAGAGCAGCTTATCTATGTAGTTCACAACAGCTAACTAGTGCCTCTTTCATTATACTTCTCAGATAGATTGCAGTCTATATCACTTCAACACACATTGCCCCAACTTGTAATGTGCAGAAACTTACAGTAAATAAGACTTTTCCTTTAGCTAGAAAAGCCAAAGACTGTGTCCTGGTTTCGGCTGCAATAAAGTTAATTTTATTTCTAGTAGCTGGTATAGTGCTGTGTTTTGGATTTAGTATGAGAAGAATGTTGATAACACACTGATGCTTTAGTTGTTGCTAAGCAGTGTTTATACCAAGTCAAGGATTTTTCAGCTTCTCACACCCAGCCAGCAAGGAGGCTGGAGGGGCACAAGGAGTTGGGAGGGGACACAGCCAGGACAGCTGACCCCAACTGGCCAAAGGGGTATTCCAGACCATAGGATGTCATGCTGAAGAAAAAACTGGGGGGAGTTTGCCTGGGGGTGGTATCATTACCTTCCCATTTTACCTAAGCGATACCTGATTCCCATAGCAAAAATGCATCACCATCCGGGGCATTTTGGGACTGCTGCACTAGTCCAGACACTGCTGAAGAATTGGTTCATGCCAGGAATTTCTGCTGCAGCCAAATACGTAACTGCATCTTGCATGCACTACCTTTCACCTTAATTAATGTTTAGGAAAGACCTCAACACAAAATCTGTCTATATGCAAATGTTTTTACCGCTTTTGTCTAAACTCCACATTCCCATCCTATTTCCTAGTGAGCCTTAATGACACGCCTGTCCTGAATTTCTCTGAGGATGCTTCTCAGCAATGTAAGAACCCTTTAAGAGGGCATGGTCTTTCAGAAACAGCATTACCTGCCTTCAGTGTGAAGTGCCCTTTAGCCCTGGAGCTGGGAGCGGAGTCCACTGTACCAAATGGGCCAGCTTTCCTGCTCAAACCCAGAAGAAACAGCCACGGTGCTAGAGGCTTGCACTGTGTTCTCCCACCCACCTTTGCCTTCCCCCACATTGTCCCCTCAGCAGTTTCACGGTTGCCTTGTTCCGCTCTGAACTGCACTGCAGGATTCATTTCCTTGTTAAAAAACACCTTTCTTTTGCTTTCTCTCTCCTGCAGCTTCCAGCTGGTGAGTAACTAGCGAGCCATGCTTAGTCTACCTGGCACATGAATTTAAGAGAGCAGAGAATTTACATTACCCCAGCAGACACCCTAATAAATTTGTAAGTAGCTTCACTATAAATAGTCTCTCAAATGCTTTAAGAAAAAGGAAATTATAAGTTAGTACTTACCTTCTGACCTTAACTCAGCCTCCACCCAGCACAGTCAGGTTCCCCCAGGGTGTTTAAACTTTGGAGCTTGGGGGAGTTTCCAGGCATACCCAATTAGAGACAAAATCTCCCATTGCTATTAAGCTGTCACTACCCAGTTTAAAGACATACATCTCTGAAAATTGCCACCCAAGGCAGAGACTGTCTTTCAGTTTGCTGATTTGACTATACCATGTGGGTAGCCTCATAGTTTCTTTGGTTGCCATCTATTCAAACTTCTTTTGGAATTATTGGGGCATTTTACCCAAACACAAGGGTGAGACTTTAAAACGCTGAGAAAATAACAGATTTTTCTAGGTCATATTTAGAGTAATAGTAACCATTTAAAGACTAAACACTGAAGTTTCTAGGCTTATTTCACCGTTGAACAGTAACCCAGGTTTTTATTTTCAGTGCTGTATGGCTGGCACAGAAAAGATACCGAAGTATGGGATAGCAATGCTCAATTACTTTGAAATACAGTTTGCAAGTATCAAATTTACTTAGTGATAACTTGGTATAAAAAAATAGATGAACAGTTTATGTCACAATTCACCCCATGTCTTAAGGCAATAGCATTAATTTTGGAAAGGGAGTGTATGTGGCCAATACTCATGATTTCCCTACCCTGTTTCCATGAAAAGTAACTGCTTCAGCTTTGCTATCTACATGTCAGGTAAAAATACCAAAACTGAAATTGGATGTGAACAGACACAAGGATGGCATAGCAGATGGGAAATGGGATTTGGGTGCCAAAGATCAGATTCTCACCTCTCTGTCAGATTCTCATCTCATAGACCCACATGTGATGTTGGGCATCACTTTCCATCCCTGCAGCAGATGTCAGTACAGCTAATCTGAAGATCTGTTCACAGAACCCACACTGTTATCAAAATTGTATTTATCAGACTAAAGCTGTGGCTGTACTAACACAGCACCTCAAGATGGGGAATCTCAGGACAAAAATCTCTAGGTAACTATCTTGAGGAAATCCCCCCAAAGCTGCTACTTTCTTTTTTCCTCACAGTTGGAGTTTCCTTATGGTTTCTCTGCCTGGCAATTGCTGGCAGTCTCTTCTAGAGAATGCACTTCCACTAGAGGCTTCTTGCAAATTTGTAATTTAGGTGCTTCAAAGGTTGATGGTGTCAGCAAAAAACGACTGTATGGTGCTTCTTTACACTTTGCCTAATTCTAACTCTCCTTGAGTTCATCATTTAGTGAATAAAGCACAGCATTAAATACAAACTTCTGTATTGTTTCTATGTCAAACCCAGTTACCACCCCCCAGAAAATTCCCAAGTATGGGTCGGAAGTCCAGCATCAGCCCAGAACTGTTCCCAGCGGGCAGTGTGGGTATGGCACCCTATTTTGGAAGCTAGGAGCGTGGTCTAAATGCATGCTTTACCATACTAGCTGGCAGCAGTGCCAGCCAATGGTCCCCGTATGCCTAAACCACTAATGTAGATGTGGCTACAATAGCAGTGCGGCACAAGCAGGAAGGGATAGCTGAGTAAGAAAGGAGTGTTTGTTCACACCTGTCCATGATGGCAGCATTGAATCAAGATTAATCTATTCCTGCTTTTTGAGGTCTTTGATATCAGCATGTACCCGAGTGCAAGAGTTGGTTCAGCAACAGTGACCCAGAAGAGCATGCAAGTAACTATTGTCTCCTTGTCCCTTCTGCAATCGGCAGCATTAGGCTTGATGGCAAAGAAGGGGAGGAAGAGGTCTCTGATTTGAGGCTCAGGGATGAGGGGGCAAGCAAAGCATTCTGATGCTTTTGGATTTGCTGAACATGGCCACACCCAACTTTGACTGTTTTTCCACTTCCACACATTCCTGTTTGCCAGAAAGACTTTCCCCCTTGTTCTCTTTTTATTTTGCTTCCAGCACAGCTTTTCATAATGTAATTATAAAGCCCCTTTGACATCTAAAGGTATTATATCAATGAGGTTACCGTTATCTATAACTTGAATAGCTGTTCTGTAAACCTCTAGAGTAGAAAATAAAATAAGTTTCTTTTATAAATAATTTGTTAAGCCATGCCCGTGAGTATTCAGGCAGCTGGCATGGAGCCCAGGTACCACTTAAGTGATCTTGGGTTGGGCACAGGCGGATTTTAAATAGTGCATATACCATGGTCTGGCCTGTCGAGTTCCCACTGTGCTCTGTGGACACCCTTCATTATGCTGTAGGTTAGACAACTCCAAAGTCTTCTCGAAACGTACCTGCCTGCAATCCTCACA